CAGAATGGGATCTGCTCCATCACATAAGTACCAGGAACATTTGCAGTGGGAGCTTCTAAGAATCATAAATGGTGAAGAAGGTATCATCTGCGATGAGTCTGGAATGATGAATAGGTATAAATGTAAAAGGGGATCCCATTAAAGGAACAGTAGGGCTGGAACTTGCGACACGGCTAGGAAAACAGTCAGAGGTGAGGCTGTAAGGGCTTTTTAGGGCTATACTAAGGAGCAAATGCCTAATCACAGACCAAACTACTTACTTTCATGAGCACTGGGAAACAACTGATTTTTTTTAAAAGAGAATAGCATGATTAAAGCTGTTTTAGGAAAATTAATCTGACTATAATTACGGTTTGGGACTCAGACATGTTTTTATACTCTTAATTCTTCAGCAAAGTGACTCAGTGGATATCTGTCTGAGTTGGTTAAGAGGAGTCACCACATGACTTCCCTTTCAAAGGGTGGAGTTTCTCATTCAAAAAAAAAAATGTTTTAAGTGATCCCCAGAGCACCTTTCATTTCCTTGTAAACTGTTGAGATCCTCAAAGATACGAACTGTATCTTACACAACTATCAGTTACCAAAGGGGCTAGAATAGTGTGTTACACATTTTTAATATTCAAAGCTTAGATTCAAAGTGGAAAGAACATTCATGCAATCAGATGTAACCAGCTTCATTCTTTTACATATTAGATACTTCAAGTCCAGAGAAGCTACAATATTACCTGACCAATACAGTGAACATTCTTTGTATTTTGTCTTTGTTGCATTTTTCCCTAGTTACATTTCCTTATCTTCATGAAAAACTTAACATTCTACCTTTTGTCCTACCAAAGGAAACTATGTATCCCTATAAACTTCCTATAGTCTCAGATTCATTTCCTAAAAGCAATTCCTGGATCTGAAGACCTATGACACTTGGACTCTTGGTCAAATGTCTAAGTATACTGATCTGGACTGAGTACATACTTCCATTCCAAATCCAACTATGGTTAACTGGTGATAACTGATTATAAAGTAAGCCCAAAAAAAAAAAAAATTGGCCCTGCCAGGCACGGTAGCTCACACCTGTAATCCCAGCACTTTGGGAGGCCAGGGCAGGTGGATCACCCAAGGTCAGGAGTTCGAGACCAGCCTGACCAACATGGCAAAAATCCCATCTCTACTAAAAATACAAAAAAATTAGCCAAGCATGGTGGCGGGCACCTGTAATCCCATACTCAGGAGGCTGAGGCAGGAGAATCGCTTGAAAACTCGGGAGGCGGAGATTGCAGTAAGCCAAGATCGCGCCACTGCAGTTCAGCCTGGGCAAGAAGAGCAAAACTCTGTCTCAAAAAAAAAAAAAAAAAAAAAAAAAAAATTGGCCCTAATCAACTGTCTAAAAAACAGGTGCCTCTGATACTAACAATAGCTAGAATCAAATTCCCCAAACTCTGATTTCTACAGGAATTTCATCCTACTCATCACTCCAAGTTAGCTGTTAGCAAAAGCTAGCAGCTCAAACACCTTGTGATTTTTTTTTTCCCAAGATTCCTTGGTCCATGCTTTAACACACAGCAGTAATAAATGGGGATGTCCACTAGCATCTTCAGGCTGGTTCAGGACTGTCTGGACCCCATGAAAGAACCTTACTGAAGCCAGGAGACTTCAGATTTGAGATATGGTTCAAGAACATCCTTGAGTTGTTCAACTAATAGGAGACCGAAGCTGTGTCTACATTAGCTGGAAGCATGAGGCCCTTTCATTCAATTTCCTATAATACTTTGTTATGAGTCATCATTCTCCTGAGATTCCAATCTCACCACGTAAGTATTTAAAGCATAACTCCCATGATCTTTTTATTTGCTACCTACATAACATCTGTACAATCTACTAAACAGGTATTTACAGTATTGGACACTTAGCTGGCCCTAGAGATAATTCAAAATTGAAATACTTGCCCTGAAAAAGCTATTTATGCATTCAACAACTATTTATTCAGTTTTTCTTACTAAGTTCTAAGCTATGAAACGGTAAGGAAACCAGATCTGTCCTTGCCTTCATGTAGATTACAGCCTAGTGCTGATTCCTACCAGAAAGCTGAAAGTAGTAAGTGCTATGACCAAGGAGAGCCGAGTCCTATGAGAGCACAGATTTAAGAGGATCAATGAAGGCTTCCTGGAGACTAATAAGTTAAAGCTGTAGCGTCTGACCAGCTAACTACTAGCCACATGTGACTATTTAAATTAATTTAAAAACTGGCCAGGTGCAGTGGCTCATGCCTGTAATCCCAACACTTTGGGAGGCCAAGATGGGCAGATCACCTCAGGTCAGGAGTTTGAGACCACCCTGGCCAATATGTGAAACCCCACAGCAAAAATTAACAGGGTGTGGTGGCAGGTGCCTGTAATCCCAGCAGATTGGGAGACTCAGGCAGGAGAATTGCTGGAACCTGGGAGGCAGAGGCTGCAGTGAGCCGAGATCAGGCCACTGCACTCCAGCCTGGGCAACAGAGCGAGACTCTGTCTCAAAAAAAAAAAAAAAGAGAGAGAGAAAAAAGGAAAAGAAAATTTTTAAAAATTAAAATTTCAGTTCTTCCACTGCTCTAGCCCCATTCAAGCGCTCAAAAGCTATGTGTGGCTAGTGCTACCATATTGGGCAATGCAAAAAGAACATGTTCCTGGTTTCCTAAAGCTCTTCTAAACAGCACTGAAGGAAAACAGTGCAGATCACTCTCCAGAAAACAATATGCAAATGCCTGAAACAAGACACAAATAATGGTTAACACACTAAAGCAAGCCCATAGCTCCATAGTTCATTATAAATAATTAACAAAGGACCAGTAAACCTAAAAGTAACCAGAGTTTGTAGGTTTGAACAGGGAGAAAGAGTGAAGTCGGTTTTATATAAAGATCACTAGTTTCAAATACGTGCCAAAATTGGAGTTGTCATAAGCAATAAAAGACAACACAGGTCACTTTTTTAAAAGCCCTTTCCGGTGGGACTGCATGTGGTAAACACAAAATGTCTGAAATGAATCCTACAAATAGTATACCATGGGCTAAATCTTCTACAAAACAGAAGTAAACACATTCCATGCATAGCAAGACTCAATCTTACAGTCCAGATAGTCCGTATCAGATGAAAGCATTTTAAAAATGCATCATATTTACGATAACAAAATAAGCTGGAACCAGGATGGTTCTCCAACACAAAAACGCAGACCAACTAGACTCCACCAGGTTCAAGTCTCTGCTTTCCTCCCTAGTTGCTCCATGCCCCGCACCACCCGATCCTGTGCTGTTTAGACGACTCACTTTAAATTGTGCACAAGATTCACAAACAACAAACGTCAAAGTGAAAGTGAAGTACGATTTAAGTGCTGGCGGATGTTCCTAAGGAGGACGGTGTTTACTGAAATCTTTCAAAGGTGCCGTTTTACACGATGACGGTGCTACAATATGAACACAGTCTAGTATCTCAGAACACACAGCAAGTTACTGTTCCGTAAGAACATCATCCTCTGATCTATATCAAAACACTGTCTCAGAACAGAGCTGAAAACCAGCGTCTGGATGACGTGAACAGCCTGACATCTAATTCAAAGCGCTACCATCATAAGCCGTGAACGGAATCCTTAAGGATGCGGGCTCAGCTCCAGCGCTCCTGCCAACTTCCCCTCCCAGGTGCGGCTGGTTCAGAATTAAGGGACCTCAGGTAGCCAAGGACTGCAAGGACAGCCATTTGGTTTAACTTTGAAGACCCAAGGGCCAAAGATTTCTCGACAATTTAATGTGCAAGGGGAGTCAAGTGAGAAATGGGAAGAGGCCGCGTTGGAAAGCCACTGCGCGTGCGGGGACTACTGGGGCGGCCGCGGGGTCGTGGGCCAGAGCCCAGGTCCGCCGCCGGGTCCCGCACACCCCACGCCCCTCATCCTAAAGTTGGGCCATCAGTCAGCGACCGCCACGAGGAGCCCCCATCCCCGCCGGGTGGGCCGCACCGCCCCGAGAAGGCCTCCCCGCGATCGGTGACACCGGTGCCCACTGGAGGCGGCCACGGGGCTTCCACAGCCCCCAGCGCCCCTGCGAGACCCTCCCGGGGCCGCCCCACCCTCGGCCCCGACCCCGCCGCCTGCCTGCCCGCGGCCCGGGGGGCCCCGCGCGCCCCCGGCCCACCTGCCTCCTCCGGGTCCTCTCGGAGCGGCCGGCTGGGGACGCGGGGGCGCGGAGGAAAGGCCGAGAGGCGCGCTCCCGCCGGCGCTGTCTCCCGTGGCTGCCCACGGAGCCTCCCGCCGCGCCGCTCCGGACCTCGCCGGGCCCCTCCCGCTGCCTCCCACGCGTGGTGGGCGCGCGCGCAGTGCAGGCGGCCGGGCGGCGCGCAGGCCTCGGCCTCGGCCCCGCGCACGCGCCGGGAACTCGGTGGGGACGGAGGAGGGAGTGCGCGCCTTCGCTGGCTCACCTCGCGCCCGCGCCCCCGCACTTCCCAACGGGCAGAAGATCCGGCGCACGCGGGCCCGAGACCCCGGCTAGCAGCGTCTGCGGGGTGTCGCAGTGTTACCTCCCCCGCTGCGAAGCCAGGGGGCCCCGGCACGCCGTGCGTGCCCACCGCCTTCACAGCGCTCAGCCTCGTGGCCTCACATCTCCACCCTGCGGCTCTCCCACCAGCTGCTCGGGCCAGGGACCGCGTCTTACCCGTCTTGGGCTCCCCAGAGTCCAGCTGAGTGTGGCCGAGAGTATATCCACCAGTTCCCTGCTGGCAGGGCTTGCTGTAAAAGGCCTAATCCATGCTACACCCACGTTGAGCAATTTAGTTCATATCTCCTGCGGCTTTGCTGCCTCTTCACCCACCTTCTCTCCTGACCCCCTTTCTCCGTCTCCCAAGGACCTGACAGGGTGAACTGTGCGCCTAAAGTCGTGAACTCTGACAGCCTGTCATCTGGTAGCAAGAAAGCGTTACTGGATACATAGTAAGTCCCCTTAATGAGGAGACCTAGTAAGACCATGGCCGAGGTTTGAAACATGGAGTCAACAGTTACATCGTATCAGCTGTCTCTGAGGCCTACAGCGGCTGCTTCATAGAGGCTGTACTTCTGTGTTCAGTGCGCACAGTGCCTAGCAGGAACAGATGTTGAACGAACGTCTGTCATTGTCTCTGCAAGAGCAGAGGTAAGCGCTCACCTCACCCCAGAGCATCTTTTCCTGTTAGAATCATTGATTCCATGGGCTGGGAAAAGCCCCCTTCCCAGTTGCCTGAATCCTCCTTACAGTGTCTTCCCACCAAGCGGTGGTTTAACACCTCGCGGTGTAACAAGGAGCTCATTACCTTTTAAGGCAGTCATTTAATCTTTGATCAGCCTTTTGGAAAATTTCTTTCTACCTTAGAAGCTAAAATCCAGCTCCCTGCATCTCCCCATCATTGGATTTTGTTTCTGCCCTGGGAATTCTTAAGTCTGACTCCAATTTATCCAAGACACGCATTACCTATCCCTTAAGCTACTCCTGATATGACATGGTCACAATCCCACTCACCAGCATGTTGAGGGATTCTCTTGGATGCATCCCAGCTTGTCCAGAGCTCTCTTAAATGTGATTATCAGGAATGAGTGGGTGGCCTGCCAAGTGCGGAGAGGAAAGAGACTGCCACCTCTTCTTAGGTCCTATGCTTGTGTTAACAAAAATTCACCATATCAAAATAGTTGCTAGGAGCAGTCACATCACATTGTTGAATCGGGTGGCGCACACTGTTGACTAAAACCCACAATATTTAAATACGTGACCATCCCCAAGCCTGGTCAGCTGCCAGTTTCTCTGTCTCTGCAGGCTCAGCATCTGTGAGTGCTCTCAGAGATAATGTGTAACACAGATACTTCCTCCTCCCTCTGAAGAGTCCGCCTCCCTTTCCCTGCTTTCATCATACCCTCTTCTTGTCTGACCCACCCATCTCTTTAGCTGGTTAAAAGAAGAAAGGCAATCTGCCCTTGGTTGGCTTCAAGCACCTATAAATGAGGCCGATTGTCACTGAACCTCAGAAAGTCATAAAGATCTGTGTGTAACAGAGGAGCTATTGGTGAAGTTTCCAAAGGTATACAGTTCACTTTTACTGGTGATTTAAATTATCCCTCTGAAATACCACTATTAGTCAGTGACAAGGCATGGCCGAGTTGTTATTAGCTATAATAAAGATCTCTGTTAGAACCAGTCAGGCCACTGGCTTTATCTGCTACACCCAAACACCGGAATACATAGGCAAATTCCCAGGATACCAAGCCACCAGAGTCTCCCACTCACTTAGTGGCCTTTGTTCAAAAATCTGACGTTACTCCTTTACACCATCATCAAGAATGCAAGTGCTCGTTAGAGTCATGCTTCCTAGAGTACCTCATGACATACAAGCTTTAGAACCAGGTATTGCCCAGTTAACAAGAGTGAGACTGGACAATGATACGCAGCCAGAACTTGGAACTTGAACTATTCATTGGGGTGGGAAGGCACATGGGGATGTGGACCAACTGTAGCTGCTGAGATTCAATTATATCTGGAGACACAAAGTTCCTGAAAAGTGTAGCAATAATCCACAGTGTCAGGAGGTGATCGACTTACTGGTCAACATCACGGTGTGGAGAAGGGGCATTACTCACTGACCACTGTAAAGGCACTTGGCCTATGGAGAGCTTACATGTCTTCACTTTACAAATGAAGAAACAGACTCTGGGAGGCTGCGTGACTTGCTCCATGTAGCCAGGGGCAGAAATAAGATTCAAACCTAAGTCTGTCTGATCTGAAGGCCTGTGTTGATTCACTACTTTGCTAACCTACACAGGCTGTCTTTGGGGGCATTAAACACCCAGAATGGCTGCATAGAGCAGCATGCAGAAATTCAGACACTCGGCAGCATGGAGATCTGTCAGCAGCTTTCAGGACCCCCACCATGATAAAACGGTTAGAGGAAATAGCAAAAGAAGACAAGGTCACTGCTTTTACATGGACTGGATATGGGGTAGAATATCATCAGTTTCTAAATTGTGAGTGTATAGGGGGCCTAGCCCTTAGGACCGTGAGAGACACCCAACTGTCAGAATTGGGGCACCAGATTGGAGTTCAACTAGTAGAAGTGCTTAAATGCAAAAGATCAGAGCACTGGGCAGAGTCCCTAAAATCTTCCTGTCTGCGATATTTACAGATATGATCATCAGCATCAAAAGCCTAACAGAATCAACAAAGTATTAGAAGTAATGTTAGCTCAGCAAGGTTGCCAAGTACAAGATCAGTTTCTAAAAATCAATAGTTTTGTCTACATCAGCAGTAAGCAACTGGGAAATGTAACAGACAATAAGAAACCATTCACAATAACAATAAAGTTTAACAAACTCTAAAGCATAGTATCCAGGAATTAACCCAACAACTTGCAAGAACTTTAAGGAGAAAATTTTAAAACTCAATTTAAGGACATAAAAGATTGAATAAGTGAAGAGATATAGCATGGATAGGATGACTTTACATTGTAAAAATATCCATTTAGTCTCCAAAGTAAATGTTATCACAACCAAAATTCCAGCAGAAACTAAATTTTTTGAGAACTCAACAAACTTATAAAATATATAAGGAGAAATACATTTTAAACAGTGAAGTCAATTTTGAAAAACCAGAGAAGACCTGCCATGCCAGATATTATGTCATTGCCACATAGTAATAAAAATATTATGGTACTGGTATAGGAATACATAGAGCAAATAGGAAACAGAATGAAGAACTCAGGAGCAGACCCATGTATAAATGGGACCTCCATTTACACAAAGGTGGTACCACAGATCAATGAGAAAAATATCAATTATTTAGAAGATGGCATTGGGGAAACTGACTTTAATTTATCAAGAAAAAATAAAATTGGGAGCCCCATGTTGTACCATATACAAAGGTGAACTCCAGATAAATGGAAGACCTACATATGATACAAAAGAAAATGCAGGAGACTATCTCTATAATGTGGGTTAGGAATTTACTTCGTAAAACAGGTTTGCAAAAGCACAATCCTTGAAGCAAAAAAAATTGTAGGACTTGACTGCATCACAATTACGGGTTCTCTTAAGAATACCATAGAAAAAATTAACAGATGGCTAACAAATTGGAAGAAGACATGTGGTATGTTCAAAAGCAACTAGGGATTAATATCTGAAATGCATGAGGAACTTTTCACAAATCAAAAAGAAGTCAATATAAAATATTTTTTAAAGCCAATATAAAAATGCAAAAAGTATAAGAATAGGCAATTCACAGAAGGAAAAGCCAGAATGGCAAGTAAGCATTAAAGATATACTCAACCCCACTTGTAATCAGAGAGTGGGAATGTAAAGAGTGTGACACACCCCATAGCTACCAATATGCTGGTCTATGTTTTAAAACCAGCTCTCCAGGGAAGGAAAAGTCCTAATGTACAGTGTTTGCCAATTTCCTTGGTGCAAATACTCTGGGTACTGCCAGTTTCCAGCTACCAGTGTAGTTCAAGGTCACCAAAGAAGTTGGGAAAAAATGTGCTTTATCAGCTCTCATGAACTGTTTTCAACACACCACTGCTTTACCCACCAGCATGGCAAAAATCAGAAAGATAATCCTAAATATTGGCAAAGATGTGGGGAAAGAGCCACTGCTGATGGGAATTTAAACTAGTAAATATATTCTGCAGATCAACCTGGCAGTGTTTAGTGAAAAAAATTAGCAGTGTGATTTATGACTCAGCAATCACCCTCCTGGATATGCCTCAGAGAAACCCTTACAATGGTTCTATAAGCACTTTCTTCATGCAGTTTCCAGGAAGTCAGTTTCTTGCTGGAACTCGGGAGGTGGAAGTTGCAGTGAGCTGAGATCATGCCACGGCACTCCAGCCTAGGGGACAGAGTGAGACTCCATCTCAAATAATAATAATAAATAAACAAATATCATCTCTGTTTTCATGATTCCCAAATTTCTATCTCCAGCCCTGAACCTCTGATGTATATCCAACTGCCTACTCAACATCCATTCTACAGCATACATTACATATCACAAATAGAACATGTTCAAAATGGAACCCTTCTCCATAACCTTCCCTATGTCAGTAAATGGCAACTATTCTTCTTTTTACTCACTGGAGTCATCCTTTCTTCCTATCATATTTCTGGATTCTCCAAACCAAACTCCCTGTCTTCATTCTTCAAAAAGTTTATGATATCATTTATTGAGTAAATTCACGTACCATAGAAATCCTTACAAATCAGTAGCCACTGGAGACCCCAGGAACCTCCTACTGCTTCTACCTGGGCTTGCCCTCCTCCAATCTGTCTCCTTTGTCAAGGTTGCAGGTGGGGACTGCCTGCTGAAGTAGAACACAAACTGAAGAGGACTCCACTGAGCCACACGAGCCTTATTATCTGAATGGGGTTTCGCGTTCATGGTTGTACATTAGAATCACCTAGATACCTTTTGCAACATTAAACCCTAAAGACCCCCTCACATATTTCAATTCAATTGACCTAGCTTAGTTTCATGCTATTCTATGTTTATTCTTTTTTTTTTTTTTTTTTGAGACAGAATCTTGTTCTGTCACCCAGGCTGGAATGCAGTGGCACGATCTCAGCTCACTGCAACCTCTGCCTCCTCGGTTCAAGCGAATCTCCTGCCTCAGCCTCCTGAGTAACTGGGATTACAGATGCACACCACCATGGCTGGCTAATTTTTGTATTTTTAGTAGAGACGTGGTTTCGCCATGACGGCCATGCTGGTCTTGAACTCCTGACCTCAAGTGATCCGCCCACCTCGGCCTCCCAAAGTGCTGGATTACAGGCATGAGCTATCAGGCCTGGCCCTATTCCATAAATTTCTTTTCCCTTTTCTTAGCCCTACTTCCTGAGAAGATACTAACAAAGGAATTTGCATGTTCCTACATGGGGCCCTGCTCCCCAGACCCTCCAGTTGCTGCCACTCGCAGACATCACATGATGCAAAGTCTTCTTTATAATTACAGCTAGATTGGAGGCATATGTTCTAGTGCTCTATAACTCTGTAGGATAACTATAGTTAAAAATAATATATTATATGGTTTCAAATAGCTACAAGAAGGATATTGAATGTTCTCAACACAAAGAAACAGTGAATGTTTGAGATGATGGATATGCTAATGACTGTGATATGAT